TTTGTGCACGGACAGCAAGGCAACCACCAACTCTCAAGGGCGTTTTATCTAGTTTCTGATGGCATTGGCAGCACTGCCTTTACTTCCAAGTACGGTTCAGCTGCTGTTGGACACCTTCACTTTGTTATCCTTTTTTCTCAAAATAAATCCTTTCTATTCCAGTTTTACCCAATTTTTAGTGGCCTTAGCAGTGCTGTTTTTACCCCCAAACATGTTTCATTGCCTGTTGGACGCCTGGAAGGACGAGAAGAAGTAGATTTTTCCATAGTTGCACAGGTATTTTAAGAGAGACTGTTGCAGGTGTACAATTAATCGACTGTCAAGAACGAACCAATAAATGAGCTGACTTTTTCAGTTGCTCTGGGAAAACTTAAAACTTACTTATTGCTATTGGAAAAAAGAACGGATGCTACCTGAAAATGAATAGTTGTTTTCCCCCTTTGATCTTCCCAAAGATACCAGTTATTGTTGTAAAAAGGAAGGTCGATTGTAACCCTGAGAATGTTGTATATTCCGTGACAATATTTTAAATGGTTCAGAACATAAAGTAATTTGTAATCCGCATATTCTTCGGCTCGTTTTGATGATCGGTGGCATGCAGTGCTGGCCAGTTTAACGCAGTCCTGCATAATTTATTCAAATTTTTAAGTTTTCCTTAATTTTCAAAGACTGGAGATACTACGGATACACTGAAGAAGTGGGTCACGAGTGATTGGAGCTTGCGGTTGGCAACCTGAAAAAGGAGAATTCTGCCCTCCGCACTTTCAACCCGGGTGTTCGCGTCCTAGTCCATCACGCTTTTTTTGCTCAGCGGAAGTCATTCAGCAGAAGTTGCGCGCGATGTCGTTTTTTATTTCATGATTTTTTGGGGGCTGTCTTTTTGAAGCGTTTGTTCTAATGAGGAGGCCTCTCTGAAGGATTGTCTAAATCTCAGTTTTAATTCGTTGTGCATTCCGATTTATGGCATTTGGCTGTTTTCCCTGCGGCGGTAACAAAGCATTTTCGAACAAAATGGGCGAGATTCTAAATGAGCAAGGAAATGCGGAGCGTGCCAATACGTTCCTTGAGCACATGGCTGCTCTCGATATCGATTCAGTGCCCTCGTCGCTCAGGATGTCTGGGATAGTCTGCACGATTGGACCAGCTTCACGAGAAGTGGAAACATTGGTTGCCTTGATGGAGGCTGGTATGACAGTAGTAAGGCTGAATTTCTCCCATGGTACTCATGAATATCACAAGTCAACCGTGGACAACGTCCGGAAAGCGACAGAAATATATGGAGAAAAACATGGATTTCCTTTCACACTTGGCATCGCACTCGATACAAAAGGACCGGAAATTCGTACAGGTTTGATCGATGGAAGCGGGACTGGTGAAGTTGAGCTGGTTACCGGTGAAAAAATTACCATCACCACGAACAAGTCATTTGAAGAGAAATGCTCCAAAGAAACTGTTTACGTTGACTACGTTAATATAACGAAAGTAATTAAAGCCGGCAGCCGGATATTCGTTGACGACGGGCTGATGTCTTTAATGGCCAAGGAAGTGAGCGGTGATCACATCGAATGCCTTATCGAAAACGGCGGCAAGCTTGGCTCCAAAAAGGGAGTCAACCTGCCGGGAACTCCCGTTGACCTTCCGGCGGTCTCTGAGAAGGACAAGGGAGACCTGCTTTTGGGATTAGAAGTTGGAGTGGACTTCGTTTTCGCATCATTCATTCGAGACGCAAATGGAGTAAACGAGATCAGGAAAATTTTAGGCGACAAAGGCAAAAACATTATGATCATCCCTAAGTTAGAAAATCACCAGGGGATCAAGAATATGGACTCCATCATCGAAGCGGCTGATGGTATAATGGTGGCCCGAGGTGACATGGGCATTGAGATCCCTCCGGAGAAGGTGTTCATCGCTCAAAAGGGAATGATATCTCGATGCAACATCGCCGGGAAGCCTGTTATCTGCGCCACCCAGATGCTCGACTCGATGATTGAGAAGCCGCGACCGACGCGCGCCGAGGTGTCGGACGTCGCTAACGCCGTTCTGGACGGCGCCGACTGCGTCATGCTGTCGGGCGAGAGCGCCAAAGGCCTCTACCCCGTCCAGTGCGTGTCCATCATGGCCAAGATCTGCATGGAGGCCGAGTCGGCCATCTGGCACAAGAGCAAGTTCCTCGACCTGACGGCGCAGATCAGCAAGGCGGACCACGCTCACTCGGTGGCGATCGCGTCCGTCGAGGCGTCGTACAAGGTGCGCGCGGCGGCCATCATCGTGCTGACGACCAGCGGCCGGTCAGCGCACCTGCTGAGCCGGTACCGGCCGCACTTGTCCCATCATCTGCGTGACGCGGCACGCCATGGTGGCGCGTCAGTGTCAGCTCTACCGCAGCATCTTCCCGCTGCTGTTCACGGCCGAGCGGCAGAGCGACTGGCTGCAGGACGTCGAGGCGCGCGTCCAGTACGCCATGAAGTTCGGCAAGTCGCTGGACTTCATCAAGTCCGGCGATCCCGTGCTGATCATCACCGGCTGGCAGTCGGGCGCCGGCTATACCAACACCATGCGCATTGTGTACGCCCAGTAGACGCCCGTGTGTGTCGGCGACTGTCAGCTGTCAGCCTGGCGAAGGATGCCTGCGCGTTGAAGGGGTGGGATGGATCTACTTCCTCGCGCCTTTGTTACCTTACAATCAAAATTTCATGCAAATAAAATGACACTTTTTAGATGCTCCTGTGGTGTAAGCAGTCGGAAATGGCAAATAAATTCAAAGTAATGTTATGTGAAGAATGATGATATTCAGCATGTGATATATACTACTTTCATGCTATCATATTATTTACATTTCAGAAAGCGCTAACTTTAACACGCATTAACTTGAAAATATAACTTTGTCTGATTTTTTTAAACCGTATCGTCTGTCCCTCAATTTCTGCATTCATCCCTTCATCAAATGCACTGTGCACTGTGTCACAAATCACAGCTCAATTCATCGCAAGTCTAGACAAAATGACATCATGAATGACGAGTGGTACAAAGTGCTTGGCTCATGCCTTGGCTTGATGACTCATAGTGTTTTTATGAGGTCATATTCGGCCGATTCAAACCTGGTTCCACAGGCGCGGAAACTGTCGCGCTATAAGAGTTTTGGGGAGCTCGAGCCGTTTCTTAATTCAGGAAAGTTTACCGCTAGGCGTGCGGGAGTGCGTGAAAAGAAGCAACTACTCAAATTGCCGCTGCCTCCCCTCCCATCCCCTATTCTTGGATAAACATCCTCTGGCCTGCCTGGGTCATCCTGAATTGCGTCAGTGTGGCATTACAATTAAACAGTCAACGGTTTCAGTATCAGAGCGTTGTACATGCGTGTGTGCGTGATGGCGTGAGATGGCATTAAGCCGGCTAGCCACGATGTTGGTGAAGACTGACTCGATGCAGTGTGACTTGGGGTGAACCTGTGTCAGTCCATGCCGCGTTCGAACCTCCAAGTCACCCAGCTTGCGTTAGTCTGCTGAAAAGGTAAGGGACTTAACAGTGTAAAGTCCAGATGTGAATAACTAATATACCTGATAGAGTTCAGGTACCATTCACTGCTATTTCTGGTAGAGTACGAATGTCAGCAACTGATGAATCACAAGCGTTTTTTATGAACTACCCACTAAAATTGTGCATTGCAACACACGGAATCAACACGGAATCTCGTCGGGGTTCGCACTCTCTTTGGTAGTCCTTTATCGGCTATAACTTGAGAGGCACACACTACTAGAAATATGGTATATGGTTATGGATACTTAGAGTAAGGTTGGCATGAAGTCAAGAATTGCACATATCTGTATATTTCATTTCACGCACCAGAAATCACCATACATATATATATATATATATATATATATATATATATATATATATATATATATATATGCATTGCATGCGGCCTATTGAAAATATGTCCAAATATGTTGATGTCTGATCTAGATGCTGCTAGGTATATGCTGGGTATGCCAATGGGCTCTGCAGCGTAGCAGACATCGTGGTTTTCTTATTTAGGTTCTATTTTACATATTTAAATTCTATTTAGCTGTATAACTTTGCTAAATGTGAATCGGTTGCGCCCCTGGCCTATTCTTGTCAAGTTGTGTCCTCTGATATGACCCGTGGTGTCATCAGCCCTCGGGTCAACAGATGTACATGTGTCGGGATTATGCGCTTCATGGGCTTCGGATCACAAGATCAACAAGTGCCGTTGTTGTTCCGATCCAGATGTAGACACATTTTGCCGCGAAAAACAGAGAAGTAGACGTTATAAAATGGGGAATCGAGCCTCATATGCGTTACAGATGTGTACATTTCTCATCAGTCTGGCGTTATTTGACTTGCTTTTAGCTGGGAATGTGACATATGTACCGATGTGCCATCCGTAATACTTTCTTTACTATGCTGCCATATACGTAACAGTGACATACATGATCTAGACCAGCAAAAGGTGGATATGCAACAAAAGCTATTTGAAAAGCCCTTAAAAATATCATCACGCATGTGATCTAAGGTATGCTACTACCCCGGCAATAGTAAAGATCCTTGCGGCAGAGCCAGTCCGGTTTCACGCCTTTCCAATGCTAAGTTATCATTCAGAGTTGTTCACAAGCTGGGAATATGTGTGGTGTAGTGCGTTGTATGCTTAAGATATTTGCGAACAGCACGCGTCCTCTCAAATATAGTGACGATGATGGGGAAAAACCCAAAGCGGCTAGGGAGAGTTGGACGTCGTCAACAGGGACTTTCATCACAGTTCAGCCCATATTTACTAATTAACAACTTGGTGAAAGTATTCGCGATGGTTTTACGGTCATTGAGTTCACCTGATGTATTCGTCATGTTTCATACCCCGCACCCATCCACATCCCATCACCCTAATCCTGTCCGCTCCCAGTCACGTGAGCTCTCACCCCAGCCGCTTGCAGACGGAAGTGTCCGTTACGACAGTTCACTCCCCTCTGCACGTGTGTCGCCAGGCGAGGATGTCGCAGGACAGCCAGATGGACGGCGAGGCCGCGCTGGACAGTCAGACCGCGGTGTTCGCCGTGCCAGGTACGTGGACGGCCCACGACAGCCGTGCGGTGTCAAACCGTGGAGTCGGGGTTCCGTGCTCTCGCAGGAGCGCACACACTGCCGTTATGAGTGGTGAGGCACCTGACGTACCGGATGGTCGTCGAATGCCCTGTACCGGGCGGGAAACAAAATGTGCTCTCATTTCGTATGCGTGTGATGGAGCCCGATACCACACAGTCATGTGTTTTGTTTTCATTCGATTGCATGTGGCCGATGTATCTTATCGAACTACCTATGCATTTACGGTCCTAAGGTATGCAACTAAACACGATTTTTTGGTTGTGTCGCTCCCTAGCACGAGCCCGTTATTTTTAGATGATGTACCCCAGTTTAGTTGGCACCATAGAAAAAGCATGGAAAAAGGGAGAGCTGTCAATAGGCATTAACAAGCGCTCGGGTGGGATCAAATTGCCCCCCCCCCCCCCGAAGGTTTTTCCAGAATGGTTTCCGAACAGAGTGGCGTAGCTGCGCCCAATTTTGCATAGCTGTAGACAATTGAATAACGGATCATTTGGCATCAAAATTTAGATGTACCTTGTAAGGTTGCTGACCTATGGCAGGTCAAGTCAGGCCTTGGTTTCAGCAAAGGCAATTTCTAGGGAATCGTTCAATCTGATGCAGCAACGGAGTGTTAGACGAAGCCATACATGTCTGAGGTGCTTTCTTAGGCAACGAAAATATTGAATGAACAAATTACATTGACCTAAGGTCAGATATGAAGGTCAGAACAAGGTCAAAACCAGCATGTTTTATTAGTCTAGGGCTTGCTGTATGGGATAGTTTCTGGCGCTCATTTCAATTTTTTATGGCACGAACCGCATTATGCATCTTCCATGGACCTCCCAGAGGTAAAAAGGTCATTAACCTAAGATGACCCAGGTCGGCATTTTGTTTTTAGGAACATACTTCCTAACGTAATATTTGTCGCTTGTTCAAATGCAAAACTCAGAGCAGTCCAGCATGACTTTGGTCACCATGACCTTCAAAAGGTCAAACTAGGTCAGTGACTTTAAATGAGCTCATGACATTTTGCTTAGAAACAGTTATCTAGGTTCTGGGGGCACTTTGGCGACCAACCTGGAATTTGACCTTGTTTACCTTACTTGACCCGTAGGTCATGACCTAGAAACCTCAAACTGTGATCTAAGTGAGTTCACGTACAGGTCAACACGCCCTGGAAATATGGTGTCTCTAGCTTTCTTAGTTCCCGAGATCGCAGGGGGGTCAAATTACCGAGCCGAATTTACCCCCCCCCCCCCCCCCCAGCCGAGCGAAGGGAATCCAGCCGGCTACCCGGATGCGTGTTAATTAACGACATCCAACGTCGAAGCTCAAAGACATTTCAAACCTCAGAATTCGAAACCCAGTACGCTCCTGGTGTAAAAAGAGTTTTACGCCCGCGGTAGTTGACCCCATGACCCCAAACTATCTTCTTCTCAAGTGGGCATTCATGAAAGATTGACAGGCCTCTCTCCAACTGCTTTTCAAAAGTGACACCCCTGATTGGCTGCCTGTGACACTGGCGGCGCTCTGGCTGCAGGGGACTGCCTATGTGCCGTGGACGCCAGCCACGCGCCGGGCAAGGGAACCTGCGAACGGTCCGGCTACATCTACTCCTGTCTGGTGGGACGCGTGCACAGGGTGCTGCAGGACGACAAGGTCGGTCCGACAATGCGGGCCGATGTGGTGCGGGTCCGACCGGTCTGGCCGACGATGTGAGATTCGTTAGTCGTGTGCACCCACCATCCTGGTGTTTAAACACATGTTACCGTTTCACATACCACGTTGACACGCTCCTAATGCGTACATCCCCGAGAACGCCCCACTCCTCCGCGCCTTCGGAAGCTACATTGTTTGTCTTCATTGACGTTGGCCACGTCCCGGTGTTGGTGCTGGCCCGTTCCGCCGCCTGCCCGTCCGGTTGCGATGGCTACCGTTGACGGTGTGTGTGTCTCTCTTCCAGACGGAGCTGGTGGAGGTGCGCACCGGTCAGGAGCAGGGCTGCGTGCCCACCGCCGGCTCGGTGGTCACCGCCCGGGTGAGACGACGCTCCAGCAGGCCCCGCGCCGCCATCCGCCCGTCGGCTATGACCAGTGGAAATATCGGCCACACTGTTAACACAGCGCTTTCCTTAAAGAGGGATGACGTTCTCTATGAGCACTTAAAATGAGAATTCGCGAAAAGAAAAGAAGATGCGAAAACTTTGACCCTAGTTTACTTTTTAACGTCATATTTTCGTCGTACATGAAAATCTTTTTTCCCCATACGGGAAATCAGCTAATGGCTGTCAATGATCTTAAAACTGTCCGGTTGTGCAGAGCGCAGCAAGCGCAGCTCAGCTACGCTTGCTGCTTAATCAGTTGCCTCACACGCGATATGTTGTGCGGCCGCACTTCCTTTGTGATGGTTGTCGATGGAAGCGGCTTCTCTGCCCGGCTGTCTGCCCTCGCCTGACGCGCGCGGTCCGCGGCAGGTGACGTACGTGAACCCACGCTTCTGCCGCTGCGAGATCCTCTGCATTGGCGAGACTGTGTTGAAGCACAAGTTCCGCGGCCTCCTGAAGAAGGAGGACGTGCGCGCCACCGAGCGGGACAAGGTCAAGCTATACGAGTGCTTCCGGCCAGGTCAGTGGGACCGGGACGTGTCGCGTGGCCCCGTCGGCTGCCACCAGGGTGTGACGCCGGAGCAGTGGCGTACCGGCCACACACAGACTGGTGTCTCGTGTCAGCGATCGGGCATGGAGTCTTCCGGTTGTTTTATAGATAACTGTTATGTCACGGACGTAGGGAATCTCTTGTGCTTGTTCTAGACGTACATCAGCTGTGTCTGGGTCCCCGCCGCCACCGGATTGAGAGTTCGCTTCACTACTAATTGCGTGTGCGATAACTCTTAAACATCGGCGTAGTCCCCCGGCATAGTCCCTGTCCGCAGCGATCAGCCGGCCGCCGCCGCCACCGGCCGCCTGACGCGTCGCCGCCGTCTCCGGCAGGGGACGTGATCCTGGCCAAGGTGGTGTCGCTGGGAGACGCGCTCTCCTACGTGCTGTCGACGGCCGAGAACGAGCTGGGCGTGGCGCTGGCGTACAGCGAGGCTGGCCATCCGATGGTGCCCGTCAGCTGGACAGAGATGGCGTGCCCGGCCACGCAGACGCGCGAGCTGCGCAAGGTGGCCAAGATCCCGCCCGAGGATGTAGCGTTCCGCGTGGCGCGCTCGGCGGCCGCCGGCGCGACGGTCGGCTGAGGGGGCCGTCCGCTGCCGTCCGCCGCCGCCCCTCATACTTCACCCGTTCGCTCGCATACGCCCGAATACAGCCTCACACTTGAAGGTGCAGGTGTCCTGGTGGAGTGGAAGCGCTGGATTGACGTGATAGCTGGCGGCGTCACGGGCGTTAGGGGGGGGGGGGGGGGCGGGATTCAGGGGCTCACATCGAACAGCCCTGTCATGGCGAGGGCTAATGAATGTGAGGTTACGGACGGTTTTCTGACGAGATCATCTCGTTATGCCTCCGCAGCAGTCTTTAATACCGAAGTATTCTATGTGTTTTCTGTGTTGGATGGCTTAACTTGACACGGTGAGCGCAACTGTGATTCGTTGAACGGTTTCTCGGCCTCCTCCGCCCCGTCAGGCAAAGGTGGACCGGCGGCGGGTGGACCAGAGATAGTAGGACCAACGGCGGGAAGATCAGCGGTACTAGGACCAACGGCGTTGGGACTGGCAGTGGGAGGACTAACGGGGGTGGACCGACAGCGAAGGACCGGCTGCGGGAGGACCAGCGGCGGGAGGACCAGCGGAGGATGCACCAGCGACTGGAGGATCAGTACCGAGGCACTGGATCGGATCAGAAGTCAACAACGGGTGGCAATCTGAAACTGCTCCCAGGGCTCACATGTGCAATAAGCGTCAATAAGTACATATTCGTGTGGGGAGGTCTTTGAACAGGAAAACATATTTCTTCGAGGATGTCGTAAACTCCTAGAGAATGCGGCTAGACTGGCTGATGCATTTAAAAAAAAATATTCTGCTTAACGAAAGGTTATATGCTCTCGATATGAGCGAGGCAGACTTCCAGCTCTTCTCTTTTTTTCTAAAGAGAACAAAGAAAACGCTGGGCGGTATGTTCCGAAAAACAAAATGTTGACCGGGGTTATTTCAGATCAATGACCTATTCTGACCTCTAAGAAATCAATTGAAAATATGTCATGCGGTTCTTGCGATCAATAAATTTGAAATGAGCACCAGAAATTTTCCCATGCAGTAAACCCTAAAGCAATAAAGCAAGTTAGTTTTGACCTTGGTCTGACCTTTACACCTGACCTTAGGTGAGTGTAATTTGTCTGTTAAATTTATGTGTTGCCTTAGAAAGAATCACGAAGATGTATGGCTCCGATGTAACCCTCCGATGTTTCACCAGATTGAACGATTCCCTAGAAACTGCCTTCGCTGAAACCATAGCCTGTCTTTGACCTACCATAGTCCAGCGACCTTACAATGTAAATCTTTTTTATGTCAAACGATCCGCCATTCAATTGTCTAAAGCTATGCAAAATGTCGCGCGGGTATGCCACGGACGTTCGGCAATCATTCTGGAAAAATCTTCGGGGGTCAATTTGAACCCCCCTCGAGCGCGTGTTAAGCTGACAAGTCAATCGCAATGCGGTCTCTGTGGTTTTAGCGAACGCGAGAAACGTTCAGTGCAAAGATGATTTTTTTTTGCAACCTGGATCAAAACCGGCACTGTAAGTGACAGCAATGTTTCAACGATAGCGTCTTTTAATCAGATCCTCGGGGAAAACTAAATGTCAACAGCTCAGCAACAGCAAACGACACAGCCATGTACAGTGATAGCGACAGTGCGATGCGCAATGTCGATGGCTTCGGTATACTTACATCCCGAACAGCTAGCAGACTCGTAGACACAGCTTCAAGACCGAAGAACACACACTGTTCGCCACACCGGCCACCAAGCACACGCGGCAGCATGATCACCAGGTTGTCCTGGGCACGGCCGGTAAGCACAGCGTACACAGCAAGGGCACCGTCTCACTGGAGGTCCACTTCGCGTCCGGCATGTTGTCACCCAGGCCCCTTTTTATAAGCCGGACCGGAGTCTACCAGTGGCTATAATAAGGTCTCTGTCCCCCTGGCGCTGCCTGAGCCCCCGCCCCTGCCGGGCTGGGTCGGTGCCGGGCGGGGAGGGAAATGGTCGGTCGTCGATTCAACCTCGACCCCGGCCATCGCAAACGAACGGCACATGCTCACAGACAGCCATGTCCAGCGTCGTATGGCCGACTTTGGGCATGCTGACACAACACAAACCTTAAGATAACCAGAATACTTCGAGGCTAAATGTTGGCCTCCATATCTGAACCATATCGCAAACGTTTTTAACAGATATGCAGAATCTGCACAACAGAGGGCGCTACAATGTTAGAAGCACCAGAAATTTCAAGACATTAATGTTGGCATTAGGTGAAATGTCAATTTCTTTCCGGCCCAATGCTTTCACACTGTTTTCAAGCACAATTAGTAGCTGAACTTCAGGGCATTTCTGCCCCTATGCGTTTGTGCATCACAACGGGCGTAAACCGTGCATACATTTTAGAGTCATGGGGACATTATTCATCCATCCTAATGTGAAATGGCACAAAAAGGCGTGGCGATGAGCCATGTATTTTCTGCCCCATCTCGCCATGAAGAGAAAAGGAAAGCCAAGACAAAGCCCATCTTTCAGTAACACGCGTTGAACGGATATAGCTTTGGTTTCGGCAGCCAATAATGGAACACCGATTCCAAGTATTGAAGGAATATACGTTGATATAACTCATGTTGTATTTTACTAAACGATTATGCCACACAAAAGTAAAGCGTGCTGCTCGTGCAAAACATGATACCAACACTTGAACGAACGATTTTAAAATTGACGTAACAGTAATATTAGGACTGTGAGGTGGGATGGCAGGCGCCCCTCTTTTTTGCGAATTCATCACCAATTCGTTCCATGACGAGCACTGCATCGCGGCTTGTCTAAGCAATATGAGTTGTAGACAATTACGTGTCACCCTGTTTGTGAACATTTAGGCAAGCACTTTTGAGCAATGTTGAAAGTATGATTCTGGTGTCCATGCGTTTTTGCGTCTCAGAATGCACGATACGCTGGCCTCAAGCGCCGTGCCAATACCAGAGGCGAGAAATACCAGGTCGCAGCTGATATCTAGTCGGCAAAGTGCGAAGAGGAAGCTCTGGCACCCTTCCCCAGGCATACCCGTCTCCGGGGGGTGCATAGCTGACAAGGTGTGAACAAGAAGCCTTGACCCCCATTCGGAACCCTTTCCCGGGTGCGGAGTCAGTCGCTTCCGGGGCTCATTATCCTCCAGAGCGCTATTTCTGTGAGAAGTGCTGGGCAAAGTCCAACGAGGGCGAAGACGGAGGACTGATCAGAACGGCAGACCACAAAAGCGTGCTCATGTTTCTCTCATCAACCTATTCTAGTCATGCAAATGAAATGGAATATCTTTCAAAAACATATCAATCAAAGCTTCTGACATTCCCATTAGCATGATAAATATGTTTGTAAGATAATTGCACAACTAGGTCTCTATATGAACACTGGTTATTCAGTGCATCTTTAATTCATGTGAGACAGTTTTCTTCGAAGGAAGGACGTTATGTTGGTCACATGCCGTTTATTCAGTGCTCATCAATTTAAATTAAGCGCTGAAGCGTGTTGCCTCGTTGAGTATTTGGTGCCTGATGAATGACTCACAGCATTTATCAATTACTTGCCCCTTTTCACCTGAACCCCAGTTATGAAGGATAGTAGCGAATAGAAAGAAGGGTCTAGCAGAAACACAGAGCAGCGGTTTCAGGATATTGCTTACTGTGCTTGTTCTAGACGCATATCAGCTGTGCCTCGGTCCCCGCCGCCACCGGCTTGAGAGTCCGCACCACTACCAGCTGCATGTGTGGTAACATTATCATCGGCGTAATCCCCCGGCATAGTCCCTGTCCGCAGCGATCAGCCGGCCGCCGCCGCCACCGGCCGCCTGACGCGTTGCCGCCGTCTCCGGCAGGGGACGTGATCCTGGCCAAGGTGGTGTCGCTGGGAGACGCGCTCTCCTACGTGCTGTCGACGGCCGAGAACGAGCTGGGCGTGGCGCTGGCGTACAGCGAGGCTGGCCATCCGATGGTGCCCGTCAGCTGGACAGAGATGGCGTGCCCGGCCACGCAGACGCGCGAGCTGCGCAAGGTGGCCAAGATCCCGCCCGAGGATGTAGCGTTCCGCGTGGCGCGCTCGGCGGCCGCCGGCGCGACGGTCGGCTGAGGGGGCCGTCCGCTGCCGTCCGCCGCCTCCTCTCATGCTTCACCCGTTCGCTCGCATACGCCCGAATACAGCCTCACACTTGAAGGTGCAGGTGTCCTGGTCGAATGGAAACGCTGGATTGACGGCGTGGTAGATGGGTGATTGTGCCACACAGCACATTTTGGGTCCCAAGGCGAGCAGCGCTGGCTTTGGAGTCTGCGCGAAGCAGGGCGCGAACGGCGGACTGAGCACGACAGTCTGTCCCATGGTCAGGCTGTTACTCCCACATCCCATTACTTTTATGTCATATATATTATCTATTGTTCAACGTTGTTTTGCAACGATGGCAAATCAAAGGCATATCAATGCATTCGGAATTTCCACCGAAAACAACTTGCATTCCATCATGTGGAGAAAAAAATTCTGCGCACATTGCACAAAAATACATTTTCATAAAAAAATGCATGGCCGTGAAAATGGTACCTGCAGACAGATATGCCCTGTGAATAACATCACATTACGACAACGGCGACAGCGCATTACTTTACGCATTACTTCATTACATACACCCGGCACGTGATTACATTTTACAAGAAACAACTGACACTTGAGCTCTCCCTCGTTCCACATTCAGGTGTTGATGCCTGGAAGTGCAGAGGTGGCTGTAGTTCTTAGTGCGAGGAAATGCCAATGGGCGTGACAAGCACATCATTGCAAATCCCATTCCGAGCGTTATACATGGTCGTTAAAACGCAATGGCGGGGTAAAACGATATGTGCTATACCATACTGCATAAATAAGCAACAACACGCCACATTGTAAAGTTGGTAATACGTTGCCACATTCCAACTGGAGAAACAGCTTAACTTGGCCCAAGGCGACCGGCCCAGCCTGGTCAGGTCTTCTCGATGCTTCGGCTTGTTAGTGTCGGCGAGGATTACCTGCCCTGTCTGTCCTGAGAGGCCCGCTGATTTAAGCTGTTAGCTTAACCAAACTTTGCGTT